TCCTCTCTACTCTCTCTCTCTCTCTACTCTCTCTCTCTCTCTCTCTCTCTCTCTATTCTCGAGGCACGGACTCGGCCATTTCGAAGAGGATGCCTGAGCAAGTCCGCCGGGGCGCTCAGCGGCGGGGGGGGTTTAAGACTGCGGAGTTCAGCTCGGGGCCCGGGACCGGAGAATGTGGTCTTCCCCGGGCCGGGCGTGTAACTACATCATGCCAAGAGTATTCGAAATACTCGGCGATGAAGTATGCCACGGTATCAGAGGTCTGCGGCCTGTAACAAAGCAAGCCCTCCGGGCACCGAGTTTACACACGAGCCCAGGCATCCGCCGCCGCCGCCAGCGAGGGAACGAATGCTAATGCAACCCCGAAAACTTTGTCATCGATGCCAACGACCCGTTATGAGACCGATACGCTACCGCGAAGCTAATCGAGTCGACCTGAAACCTACGTAAAATCTACGTGGGAATCTACTATTCTATTTGAGTAGCGAGCTTTCGCGGACCGGAACTAATACGATGATTAAAAGTCATTACAATCTTTAAATAATATTTTTCCAATATTGTTTGCTTAAATAAGCACGACTACTGTCTGATTTGAATAGACGTGTACGTTATTTTTAAGTCTCTAAGATAAAATAACGATAAGTGTGCAGATAGAAAACGTTAAAACGTGCATGTAATGCCTATAGCGTTTTTTGCATTCTTTTAAATATCCGAAAGTGGAGATCTTACTATTTTACTCTGTACATTGATTGACCCATTAAAAGGACAAAGGATTTTAATGTGCCATTATGGGCTTAAAATGTATTCGTTAATTTTTTATGACCTAAAATTTTATTCAGCGCCGGAATATCCGCCCGCGTTTCAATTAACCATTTCACTCAGAGTACATTACTTCCTACCTTACTTTCGCGTTCTATATATTTCACAATACATTACGTAATAAGTAATAGTTTAATATAATATGAGTACATGATCTCTATATAGTTATTTTATTATTTATTATTTATTCAACGGTATTGCACTTTGACATATTGTAAAAAAGATTTTAAAGGCAAATTGTAATGTTTATAAAAAGTTAATAAGTATATTAAAACGTTAAACGATCAAATGGGAGCATTTTCATTGCCTAACGTGCGCACTTCGATTCGAGGTTCGTTCTCTCGTTGGAAACACGATGCGAAATGGAAAACACTTTAACGACAAAAATCCGGCCAAAAAGTATCGAAAGCGCCCGTCATCCCCCCGTAATTCGTATGTACGTATGCGAAGAATTCGCCGAGAAAAATGCAATTCATTGCCAGGACGTGTGCCGGTTTCGACCCCCTCGTCTTCTGTCTCGCAACCGAGTGTAGGTATCTTTCGTCTAAAGGACGGCCAGCATGGCGGAACAATGCTTTTAACTTTACAGCGCCGTTCGAGTGCGCTCTCTCGACCCCCGGTTATACTACAGGGTCGGTTGTTAACCCGACGCTGAGGGGTTGAGATTTCAGGCAATAAAACCGACCGTCGTGATTCTTCGTCTTTAATTCGACGGCAACGCCTGCCATACGGAGTTGACAAGCGATTGCGCGGTCTTTAAAAGTCTACGATGTTTTGATATCAACACTTATTTTTCTTAATTTACTGATCATTATGCTTGCGTATCAATGTATTACATGTGATAACGATCAAAATGTGTGTGTGAAAATATGATTAATCAAGATTTATAAATAATTCCTAAATTTATATTAGAAACAGACAAATCATCAATCTAGTAAATTTTTTTTCAATGTTACCTTTACATCGTATAAATATAAGATTATAATAAAATTATGTCGCTAACAAGTAAAAAATAGAAATAATGTTTAATTACTTAATATTATATTGGTGTTATCAAATATATTATTTAACACTTTTATTTGTCATAAAAATCATATTTATCATAAAATTCCTTCATTATATTTATATTATGCTTATAATGTTAAAAATGTCAAAGAAGATAAGTTAAATAAATTTATTGATGAATGATAAAAAGCAATCGGTGTTTTATATCCATTTTCAAGTAGAAATATACACATACGAATACATACTAAAAGTTTAAACAATGGTTGAAGAGCACAGAAGCAATTTTAATATTAAATTGCCATCAAAATCTAATGTAAAAATTATTTTAAAAGATTAATAAGTCGCTCTCTCTGTGACCAGAATCACAGACAGTAAGAAAATTCAGTTTGCGAAAGTAGAATGTGTTACGCGTTTAATTTCTGCACCATTAGTTCTTGCATATTAACTTGGGCAGATTTTTTAGTTAATGTAAATATGCGCTCGTTACTGTCGCATATATAACGTCTTTAATATCTTGAATTTAGAGTAACAATGCTTTCCGCAATTAGACACCGTGTTCGCGGAACAATGTAATATTCGCAGAGTTCTCCCCAGACGCTCCAGAATATAATATCATTCCCGAGAGTTCGCCGTTTTAATATCAGACGAAATAAAAATCATTTACGTTACATAATATATACGTATATCTTTGCGAAATCAGCATATTAAGTATCCATAAAGATTGGTCTTATTCAAGTGATGCAAATGTAATAACACTTGCATTACTTAAATAAGACCAATTTGATATCGTCGTCATATTATTTAACATAATTTTGCATAATAATAAAAATATTATTCAAAAATTATTTCGAAAAACTTTCTCTTTTCTGTTATAAAGTCAGTCTTAAAAGATAACTCTTTCTCAGTAAACTCTACGTCTCATTATAGAATAGAAATAGAAACAGAGATAGTTATATCTAAAAATGAATAGTTATGTAAGACTTCTATTCTGCATAATAATGTTTAAATATTTACGTACAACACGAAAAAAATATTTTATTAATTGCTACATTATTATACAAAATACAACGTTAGGTAATTAGACTTTTGTGGCAATAATACTGTACCTAATAAGTTGTTGTAAGACATATACATATATTTGCATAAAGTCCGATGTTCAATAGCAAATTAAAATGCAACTGATTATATGCATTAGTGCTGTACTTGTATTATATATACATATAGTTATAGTTGATAACAACTATAATTTACATATATATTATACTTGTAATATTAATTTATATTATTCTGTAAAAAATACATAATTTCAGAATCATTCAAGCAGAAGAAATTAAATGCTTGCATTTCATTATTATTTTCTAAATAGAAGCCAATCAATCGCATCCCCTTACGAAAATTTAATACTGGAAGGTAATAATTAATTACTTATTTTGTAAATATTAAATATATTGCTATTCAGCGCATTTAATTATTTACTCAAAAATAATCAAAAATAATAAATTATTTCCAATATTAAATCGGATTTGTAGGTTATTAATAAATGTTCCAAAGTTATGTGATCAAAGAAAATAAATCATTAAATATATATATCGTCTTCGCTTGCAAATATAAACAAATTGCTTGCATAAGAAAGAAATATTTCAAAGTTCGATGCGATAATTTCTGATTCGAGTGGAGGTAGTCTCTCCTACCAGTGCGGCCGGATACGATATAAAACACGACAATTGACCCTGACGAACAGTATGAGATAATCTCACAACGCGCGACGGTCGTTCCCAGTGTGCCTAACGCGTAACTGAAGACACGACGCGGCACGGCGCTACAAGTCGGTGACAACTTTTTCACACGTCAGTTGAAAAGTGCTGTATCATTTCAACACTAGTTATATTAATACCTTGCACGTGCGCAAATTGTGATAACAAAAAGCTGTACATTCAGTCAACAAAGCTCGAGCAATAAATTATATTGTTGTGTAAGAAGAAAGTGAGAAAGAAAATTCGAGTGATTTTCAAGAGTAGCAAGAGTCCGGTGATAAGAGTCTTACGGTAATTATTACTTTATTTTATGCAGAAATAATTTTATAATGATAAATTTATAACGAAACAAAAATTATGTAAATGTACAATATCCAGACATGTTTCCAAGTTATAGAAAAAATAGAAGCATTTTGTAAACGTGTAAATGTACAATATGGCACGTCTTATTTTGATGCTTATTATTTCTACTGCAATAATGTAGCTTTCTGCTATATAGAACAAAAGGGTTTCTGAGGTATTTGGCCAAATTTTATTAACTTATTTTATTTATGTATTTAACCTTGTTTACGTTAAATGAGTCTCATCATAAATCTATTTATTCGGTCGTTCAGCAAGTCGTCACAAAATGAGTATACATTCAGTATACATATCTGTATATAGAAATTATTTTGCAAAAGTAACTACAGTTACAGGTTTTGCTTTCAAAAATTAACTAAGTTACCGATTTTAAAAAGTAGCATGTTACAGTTACTCAAAAATTCTCAAAAACGAAATAATTAATATATGTAATAACATATATGTATACATACACACATATATATATGTATTTGTATGTAATTACATGTATTTAATATATGTAATTAAGATTTTGAGATATAATGTTAAATTATCTAATGAATTTCTAAGCAATCTAAAATTACGATATCTTTAAAGATATTGTATAATCTCTGTAATTTTTAAGTGATTTGAAATAAAAAATTCGATTATTTATCACTATTTACGTAATTAAATAAAATTGTACATAACACATAATTTTTACGATAAACTTTTGTTAAATATTTTTTCCTGAGTTTGTACAGATTCCAAAGATACAGAAAATTTAAAAAATGCAATAATATTTTTATTATTTTTAAGATAAGATTAAATAAAAAAGTGTGATTTCCTTAAAAATATTTAAAAATATAAAATTTTATATGTGCGTATTAAAAATATTTTATGCACACAATAATATAAATAGCACAATTTTATATTTCTTATAATAAAGTAAAGATAACATAAAAAAATTATGTTTTTTTTCTCTCGTTAGACTTTTAAGTTTCCTTGCATTTGGTTGTTTTGTAATAACACTTATCCTTCTTTTTCTATTTTTCTTGTGTTTTTCATCCTGACATGCTTTAAATAGATAACAATAGATAATATGCAATTTAAAAAAAATTTATAAACTTTGTCAGAGATACCGTTTATTTTATAGAATTATTCAATGTTATGTAAAGTACAACTAATACGTCTTCAATAGTTTTAAATATCTCTATCTATGAAATACATACATGAAATTAAAATCATATTTTTCTCTATTTTTCAAAACTCGAATTTTCTTCATTTTAATCATTGCACATTTTTGTCTGAAAGCTTCGTTTTTTTTTACTAAACTTTGCTTTTTCTTATTTAACGATGAAAATGCAACATATTTGACAATTTTAAAGACATTTATGATGCCAGATATGGCATTTCTTACTTAAAATTTTTTACAAATATATGATTTTCAAGAAAATATTTTTAAAAAATAACTTATTGGAGAACAAACAAGAACGTTATCATAAAGTAGTTCATATCGTTATCAGAAAATTTAGGTGATAAAATTGTAGTCTTATCATAAAAGCCTTTACTTATAGTGCAAATAAATACATCATAAGCACTAATACATCATAAGTACAAAAAAAAAAATATAAGAAATTTAGAAGAAAAATAAACAATCTAAATAATTTTTCTTGTACTATCTTGATCCAATAAAATTATTTATATTTTGTCATATTTACGCTGCCTAACATATAATAAATTGCACACGATATTCATTCTTAAATTTTTCTCGAAACCAAAGATGTGGCATTTCTTATTTAAATTTATTTTAAATTTATAAGTACTTAAAATAAGTAAATTATCAAGGAATATTTGAGTAAAGTTTATTGTAAAGAGTTACTATATAAAAAAAATTGTTCAGCTATATATCTAGAATAAAATAAATATAATTTATAATATTTGGTCGTCTATTCTTTATCTTAAATCATTCAAAGCGCTTCAAGAGATATTATAAATTTAGAATTTATAAAATAAAGTAACGAAATATAATAATTTTAAAAGGAGTCTGATGACGTTGAAACGTTATATGTTAAAAAAATCATAGAAAAACAAGAACTTTTCCTTTACTACTATCCGATTTGATATGAAGAATCATAAGAAGATTTATATTAATTGTCGATTACAAAAATATTTACGAATTTATTTTCGTGCTGCACTTTTCATTAAAAAAAAGGATAAAAAAATTATTTTGAATCTATAACACATTTGGTTTTGCAAATATTAACTAATTGTTATTTTTTTATTTGCTTTATTTTCAATTCAGGCAGCTGACTTATTTTACTTAAAAGAGATAGATCTAACTTTGCTAATTTTATATAAAACCGATGGAATGTTAAAATTTTGTGAAACATGTAAAATTAATAATTTATGTATATGTATATTTGTTTTATTAAAATTTCTAGTAACTCCTCAAACTTATTATGACTGATCAAACAAGAATCTATCATCGAATACTGCGCGTCTTCAAATCAACATTCACTAGCTGCTTAATCACTAATATTCGATAAATATGCAACATATAATAGAAAAGTATAAATATCAATATTTCAATAGCTTTAATACGTTTCGCAATAGACAGAGATATGTTCATCCACGTGGTTTCGCCGAGCCGAGATTTTTCTGATTATCTCGCAACGAACATTATTCAACGGAATAAAAGCGCGATGTAATTATCGACTCTGAAAACGTCGCATTGTCGACGTACGCCTCGGAGCTAGAACGGTCGAGCACTCGCATAATGCGATTACAAAATTTCATCTGACAAGATTCTCCCATCTCACCAGAATGCACTTCGCATAAGTACAACGATTTCGTGCTCGAAAAACACTTCTCGCTTTCAGTCATAATTTTCGAACATCATGTCGCGCTTGCGTTCCCCGAGTAATCGCGTGAAAGACAGATTGAAAATATCCCTTAATCAAACTTTACGAACACGATCGCCATCCACGTGTCCGACTTTTCGACGAAGGATAAAAATTTACGACAGTTCGCAGAAATAGATGTGAGTCTCGAAAACACGTGGCGAAACTCTTTGCGGTGAAAAGACTCTAAAATAAAGAGTGCCATACATATCTTAAACGAGCTAAAATATATTCTTGTTGAAGAATTAAATATTAATTAAGTTGTTCTTTAAAATATAATATACATACATGCAGAAAATAAATATGCCATGCCAATTAATGTATCTTTAATTGTGCACTATTATATTATGTAGTGTCTATAAATTATACACACTTGTTTTCTATTACAAGCCCCTCATGGCATTTACTGGCCTAAATGTACAAAACTAAATACACTGCATAATTTATATAATTGCATGTAGTTATTACACAGGAAAATATATTTGATCAAAAAATACTATTTGGTTTGTAATAAATGTTCATATTTTAATCAATTTCTTATCGTATTCATCGATTATTATTATATTATCAATCTTATTAAAAGTCTGTTAAGACATCAACTTTACATTATGAAGCTGAAAAGCAATTAATATTTTTGTACTAGTTGTTTTTCTGCGTTTATAATTACAACACCTACGACTAAATTATGTAGTGTATTTTATATACTCCGGATATCACAAACGCCGTCAATATTTTGCGTCATTAGCGCTTTCTCAATCATCCGAGCATTCAAACCGATCTCATCGCTCTTCGCCGTTCGTGAAAGATAATTATGCGCAAACATCGGACAGGTAAACGCAATCGTGCCAAAGTAAAGCGGATTGTTAACGCCAGGCGACAGAAAATCGCGTGGACCTCTTCAAACATTTGCGAATCTCCACGAGAAATCGATCGAGTTGGTACGTGACAATGCAAATCGATGATATTACATCGCCGGCGAGACGGTATTTTTCACCGCGGAATTATTATTAATATCCGACGGAAAAAATGACTTGGTAACGAAAATTTAACGATATTATGCAAAATCTAGTGCAGAGTTGCTCTTAGCTCATGAATGTAAATGGTGCTGCAGAATCAACGATCGCATATAGTAACAAAATATCAAGAGAGTTATACGAATGTTACTTATTATTATTATTTAATAGCCAAATTCGTAATTATTAAAATAACGAATTAATTAACATTACACAGCATGTTATTGGTCAAAAAAGTAAATCAAAAGTGACAGTAGCACTCTATGCAAAAAAAAAAACAATTTATCATGCAACTTATATAAAAAATGGCCTGAGAAAAGGATTATTTATAAGAATAACCCTTTTCTCAGGCCATTTTTTTGCCATAAAATGAAAGCTAAAGCTCACGTCGCCTTTCCAATAACTCCAAAGCTTGAATGGCATTTCTAAGACGGAAAATCATACCGCGTTATGATTCCGCATTAGAAATAATGATCCCAGTTGTGGTTCTCGCAACGACGCGAACCGAGAGAATTCCGCGTTGACAAAACTAGGCGAGGCGGAAAGCGGTAGAGCGCGCGTAACGTTTCTGCACGCAAACCGGCTCTGCAGAAGAACCAATTCTGCAAAACGTCACGGCGATTATTATAAAAGGGACCCATTATAATATGTCGTAGTGTCAGCGCAAAGTACTGCCGAGTTATCGCCGATTTTCCACACGCCCGAGCGAGCACTTTGCTTGTACTACTCTCTCGCGGTTCCGACGATATTTCGCATCCCAGCGATTTCGACGCGGAACGTACTTTGTGTTTTATTGGCGGTCAAACGACTTGCGTAAAACGGTGATATGTGCTGCTTTTAATTTGTGGTGGGTAAAATCAGCTGTAATCCCCTGTGTAACTTTATTTTTTTCTATAAAGTTTCGAGTAAAACAACGAGTTCACGGTATTATTTCGTAAATTCGCGTTTTTCGTTGAAACCATTAAATTTTGTTTTATAAAATAAATAAATGAAAGGAAGAAAATGTTTTAGTATTTATTTGAAAATTTTGCATGTATAATATATGCTTAATATATGC